CACACAACAACAAACAAACACACAAGAACACACAGACAAACACACAACAACAAACAAACACACAAGAACACACAGACAAACACACAACAACAAACAAACACACAAGAACACACAGACAAACACACAAGAACACACAGACAAACACACAACAAACACACAACAACAAACAACACACAGACAAACACACAACAACACTGACCTTTGACATACTCCACTCCGATCCTGTCAAAGATACGCTCGTATGCTCCACACACTGTGTTGTACGTCTCCAGGGCTGTCTTCTCACAGGTGTCAAATGTGTACATATCTGGTGAGAGGGGGGGAGGGAGAGATCACAGGTGTCAAATCACATGTGTCAAATGTGCACAAGAGTGTGAAATGACAATGCATTTGTAACCCTAAACGCCCCCCCCCCCCAGCACAACACAAAACAAGACTTGATCCCCCATACCCTGACCCTTGTGCACAGCCAAACAAAACAAAGGCTTGAAGTTCACAGTCACACAAACAAAACCTACTAAGAGTCTACAAAAACAATCATTCACCACACAGATATTACGCCCATCAGGGCAGTGCCATTGACTGTTGTGTCTTTAGGCCATTCCCAAAGGGGGGGACATTTCTTGTTCAAGCACAGTAGAATTGTAAATGGGCTGATTCATGTCACGCTCATAACTGTGCCTGATCTGCAACAGGGAACTGCTGCTTTTTCTTTCCTAATCCTTACTATTGTCATTTTACCTCTACTTCTTTTGTATGTTTGTCACTCTCTTGTGACCTGCTATTTCCGGGGTGCCTTGATAGTCGAAGCAGAGCTTGTGCTGTTGAAGCTAAAGAGGTGAGCAGAGTAAGTCAGATTCCCTGTAAAGACTTCTCTGTTGACACCCACCACTTGGCGCTCATATGACCTTATGCAGTTGCGAGCGCCGTAAAACCCTCTACTATAATTTTTTTTTTAATTTAAAAATACAGATATTACAAAAACAAAACAATCATCCACCACAAAGAAACCAGAGATATTAAGAAAAACGAATCAATCATTAAACAGATACCACAAAACAATCATTCACCACAAAGATACAACAAAAACAATCATTCACCAAACCGATACCACAAAAACAAAACAATCATCCACCT